GCATGGTGTGGCTGTGTTTTGTATTTAGCTTGGTCAGAAAAGTTTTGCGCTCAGAAATGTCAATGTATGTGGAGCTTTTCCTAGTCTAAGTAAGTAACAGAAAACGCAACGCCCTCGTACGCCAACTTGGGCTAACACACCCAATTGCGTACTCATCTAATGACACGTGGGGCCACGTGATGTGCAATGTGAGAGAAGAAAACCTGAGGACTAGAGAAGGATGAGTAGCTGCCAAATGTTTAGAGGGGGAAACATTTTTTTCCTACTTGGGTTTTACATCCTCTCTCCTTTTAACAATGAGCCCACCCAGCATTCACTCTAACATGGAGGGTGAGTGCAAGTGCTAGGATGCAGGTAGGCATTTCAGCGAGCGCATCTCGAGCTGAATTCTTACCAGATTCCACGGCGAATCTTGGCCTATAATTAGCCAAGCAGAACTTGGGTACTTATCCTACTGTGAGCAGGAAAAGGTCGAAAGAAACATGGTGACTCCATTTGAATTCACCTGAAGCATCTATTTCTAATGTTCTACGTTCGAAGTGATTTCGCCTAAGTTTTTCCAAACAAAATTCACCACATAATAAGAGCTTACAAGCAACATACCTAGTTGCTCAAGTATTTCTTGTCGAAGTACGCATGATTTCAGATACTGATTCCATCAGTGACAACACCGATGGCGTTTTCCTATGTGATACAGACTCTTCAGTCTAGTCGGTGTTTGGACATGCTTTCTTGAGTACTAGAATTACTGATGTTATTTGGGTGTCACGCCTAACTTAGTCCCCACAATAGAGCAATGCTAGCCATGAATACCAAGTCCTGTTAGGTACCTGCGGCTCCAAACAGGTGGGGATGCGTCGATCGCGATCATGCAACAGCAGTGGCGTTGTCTGGTAGACTATGTTGAGGGGATTTCCTTAGATTGGATGACCCATGTGCATTAAGACCCAACAATAGTGCTAGCTAGAACTAGAAGTACAAACAGGCTAAGGCAACCACTTCCTCAACACAATAACATACCATCACTAAGTTTAACCACAATGTTGTTGTTGTTGTTTTAAAACTTGTTTTAAATATCTAGGCATATTCTGAAGCAATTTGAACAATTTATGATCTTATTACTGATTATTGATGTAGGACGCTTAACGGATAATTTCATGGAGGATTCAGACAATCACGAGCTAAATACAGATTTATGCGTATTATTGACTTCCGCAAAGAAACAATCATATCTTTCAACCTAGAAGGTGGATTCTGACATATTATGTATGTAAATCACCTATCTCGATGAGACGGAGCCAACCTGATTGTCAAATTTTTAAAATCTCATTGGTAATACCTAGTTCTTGGCTGAAATCAGAAAATAATCAGCTTCTAGTTTATTTTTAGTAATAAAGTTAGAGTCTATTTAGATTAGGAAATAAATTTAATATTAGAGTCAAATTAGATTAGGAAACAAATTTAATTTTAGTTTATGATTTATTTCCTCTATTATAGGGAGTCTTTTTAGGATAGAATTTGATACTTTCTCTTAAATTTAGCTCCTTTAACTATTAAACTAAAACTCCGAAGTTATGGTGAGGTCGGGGATTATAGTTTTATATTAATTCTAACATGTCCTCGCAGGTTGAACGCCCTTTTTTATAGGCTAAAACCTGGACTCCGCAGCGGTGTTAATTTTTATCAAATCCGCTTAAAATTCGTGGCCGGTGGGATTTGAACCTGAGTTGTTCTGATACCATCTGTGCGATACTTTAGGGTATATATCCACCGACAGCCAACCACAGTAGCACCTGTAGGAAAAGGAACAAGATCCTAAGTCCCTCTAGAAACAAGTGCATCCATCTCCTCATCCATGACCTGTTTCCAAGCAGGAACAAATACGGCCTCCTCATATGACCTGGATATAGATACAAAGGATAAGGACAAAGCAAGCCGACGAGAAGATGGAGTAAGACGGTCAAAGGAAACAAAATCAGATATAGGATGATTAGTACAAGAGCGTTTATCTTTCCAATGAGCAATAAGAATATCTAGATCAGAAGCAATAAAAGTATTAGTAGGAGGACGACCGGCAGCTGGAGATGACTGTTCGGCTGGAGCAGAGAGAGGGACATGAACCTTTGTACGGCGAGAATACGTCAGTAGTGACGGTGGTGCAGGTGGCACAATAGAGTCACCCTGTAATCCTAAAGAAGATACATCAGTAGAAGGAACTGAAGCAGCTAATGGAATAGGAGTATGAGCAATAGATGGTGGAGGAACACATGTATCGATAGTTGGAGATGAACCAGCCGAAGAGAAGTATGGAACAAACTAAAAAAAGGTAACATAAGCGGACACAAAATACCTCCTGGTGGATGGATTATAACACCGATAATCTTTTTGAGTACGCGAATACCCTACAAAGACACGCTTAATAGATCGTGGAGACAGTTTATCCAGTCCCGGAGACAAATCCTGAACAAAACAAGTAAAACCAAAGACACGAGGAACCACAGGAAAAATCCTTTTCTCAGGACAGAAGCAAGTGAACAGTATTTTACTATTAAGAATAGAAGAGGACATCCTATTGATCAAGAAACATGCACTGAGAGCAGCATCAGACCACAAATACTTCGGAACATTCATATGTATCATTAGAGTTCTAGCAACATCTAAAATATGTATGCTTCCTTTCAGCAACCTCATTTTGTTGAGAAGTGTGAGCATGAAGTTTGATGAAGAATACCAATATTAGCACAAAAACAAGTGACATCATTTTTCATGTATTCTAAATTATTATCAGTACGAAGAATATGAATAGAAGTAGAAAATTTATTCTTTATTTCATTGTAAAACATTTCAATAACAGTTTAAATCTCAGACCTCTCTTTTAATAAATAAAGCCAAGTCCAAAACTCCAAAGTTATGATGATGGTCGATGATTATAGTTTTATGTTAATTCTAACTTGCCCCCGCAGGTTGAACGCCCTTTTTTTATGGGCTAAAACTTGGACTCACGCAGCGGTGTCAATTTTTAGAAAATTCGCATAAAATTCGTGGCCGGTGGGATTTGAACCTATGTTGCTCTGATACCATCTTAAATTTAGCTCATTTAACCATTAAACCAAAACTCTGAAGTTATGGTGAGGATCGAGGATTATAGTTTTATATTAATTCTAACACTTCTATTTCTTTGTAATTCTAGTCTTACTAGGAGTCTTATTTATTTTCCTATTTAAGAAGGGTCATGTAACCCCAAAGAAGAATAACTTCTCATCAGTAAAATTTCTCTTCCAATATTTTCTTCGTGGGTTCGGAGATCGTTCTTTGCGGATTCAGAGAACACCTCTTGATGGATTAATTCCGAGGTTATCACTTCCGTGCTGCGTGAATTATTGACAACATTGGACATGCCACTCTTCTCATTTTTTTTAATCCTACATAGAATGTTATTTTGCTTCCAATAGCTTAAGTTTGTTTGGAAAACAGATGAGAAGGATATGACACTGTACCAATTTGACAAAAGCGAGCTTTTGATGAATTCCAACTAATTTAGTTCCACTATGGAACGGTTTCTCCATAGATGCTGATTACCAACCCCCCAACCTACAGTGGTCTCTTCGTACGTAAAAGGATAGTAAAACTGATGCAGAGAAACCTGACTGCTCGCCAAACATCTCAAAGATGGGGACCAACGAGCTTCTTGTTGCTCGTTACTAGCACCATGAATGCCTCAGGCCAATTTCAGAGAAAAGAACACACTTATCTTCATGCTACTCCGAGGCTCTACGCCTAACTATTGACATCATTGCACCAATTTAGGGCTATAGCTTGTGGTTGTGTCACGCACCATGTCAAACAAAGTTGAAGCAGCTTGTATCCCCTTAGCGTTGTGGGCCACCGCCATGCTGGATTGCTGGAGATTGGACTCTAGTGTAGTTTTTTTCTTTTTTTTTTCTGGCAGGGGTCTATTCTGAACTCATGAAGCTGTGTTACCAAAATGGAAAGAAACCCCTTTACGTGTGCAGGAAAAACTCTAGAGATAACTTGCTGTCTGATATACTCTGTACTAGCTTCTGTCCCTGTACTGGATACAAAGGACAATGTGCTCTTTGAGTCCATGGGCATTTGGCGGGCATTTACGCATCATGGTCTTCTCTCATCATGGTATGTGTTAATTTGGTACTGAAGAGAACTCTGTATGTTCGTTGTCAGATCAGATTTACAAGATATATATATACATAATCAGTAGCCCAATAGTGGGCATACTAGGAGGCGGCTGAGGCAGGCTAGGGGGCGATAAGGCGGCTAGTATCATCTAACATCATCTAACAGTAGGTTTTATGACATGTGTAAGATGATGAGTCCTTCTAGAGTCTCGTAACTATTTGAGGAACGGTGACGATGACGATGACATGGGTGATATCTGATTCTCGTTAAATGCCCTCTTGGAATCCTGCTTAGACGTACGTTGCCAATGCTATGTCTCGTTTGGGAAGTACAACATTGGTTTCGCATAAATTTCAAACAACCACAGATCAAGCATAAGGAGAGATGATGATTAGAATAGGCTCGGTCCGTGGTTGAATATTTTTGTCATGTCATCTGCGACAATAGCAGCTTACAACCGGAGGAAAATGTAAAATATCTTTGTGGATAATTTGATGAAATCTTCAAAATGATTTGGTTGTGTAAAAGGTGATGCTTTCTGGTATTGAATTAACACCTTTTCATTAGGCGATAGGACTGTAATGATGCTCGCTTAGATTTGAATCCATGCCTTAATGGTCTTCCGTTCTGTCACACCCCCCTCAGATCTTTCTGTATGGTCCTACTGTAATCCTTAACAAAAACAAGGTGCATGTGCGTTCGGTTGCCGTTACTCATGATTAAAGAGGGAAAAGAGATTCCTAATCATTCCGTAATCCCACTTAAGGGCGGCAATGCTTTCTGTTTCCATCAGTGCTCTGCTGGCCCTGTCATCGAA